ATGGTTAAAAGTATTTAAGGTACTACCTCAACCTCTTAATTTGACACTTTATTCGGGTTGACATTTTCATTATCAAGGCGCTCTTGTCCTTTCCGTGAAACATTGAGAAACAAGGACATTAATGCGTTACCATCATACATACACACAAAAATACCGAACTTAATTAGGGAATCTGCTACGCTTTAAGCATAAAAAGGTACATATAAAATTAGTACTTGAAATCTTTGTTAATGCCATAAAATTTGATCATAACAATTTATATTTGCTTGGACCGGAGATGACTCGAAATTCTGTTGAAATGCTATCTGAATCGGTTTGCTATATGAAATGAAGTACAGTAGGCCTACTATAGACGATTTAGATTGGTAATTTGTAATAAAAATTACCAAAATAGGCCACGAACTATTGATACATAAACAACGTTCAAAGTGTTTGAACAATTCATAATGGTTTGCTGAATAAATGTTTTACTAAAATGCGTTATAGTTTTCTTAGCATAACATTTTGGAATCCAGACGGAAAAAGCAAAAATTATACAGTTAAGACATCAATTAAATTGAATAGGCCTACGCCTGTAATAAATAAGGTGCAACACCAACGATAACTAATTTGTAAATTACTGTGATGTGTTGGTACGTAAAAATGATTCTTGCTGCTACTAAAGGTTAAAAGGAAAAGAACCAGTACCGTACCAAAAACCAACGTTTACAGTTAAGAACTGTAGTACAGCCGACCAATTATATGCGTTAATCAAGGTTATTGATCTCTTGGTTTTGGATTTTCTCGTAAAAAGTTATCGGCTATCAAAGTTATTTCCCATTAATTGCTTTATTTGTACACAACTCTTAATGTAAACTTATCGGTGTCAGTTAAAAAAAAAAAAAACCTTATACAACATAACTTTCTGTTATTTAATAGATTACGTATTCTCTAAACAATGGTTGCTGGTATATATATTAACATTATAAGGAAATGTGACAAAAATCACACAACGTTGGGTTTTTGGACGTTTATAATTTTATTTCTTAAGTACCTAGGTAGGCCGTGTATTCTATGGAAAAGTACCGGTATCAAGGATCGTTGTCGAAAGGGCTGTTATAAATAATTGGGTAAGCATACGTACCACACGTACCCAAGAGAAGGGCTATGGGCCTATTGGCTGTATGGTCCAGCGATTGCATCACACGGTGAGTAGGAACTATTGACTTTATATAGTCAATGGTAGGAACAGAAAGTGACAAATTGGAAAATCGAGTTCATCATCATCCGTAAACCTCTGTTACAATCACCCACTGCAGTTGTAATTTTTTGCTTTACACTTTACACAACCGCCATTGAAGAGCCGTCAATGAGTGGAACATTGTTTCTAAGCTATTGGCGACGGTCATTAGTAAATTTAAGTTTCCCAGCCGTATACAACACTGATTCAATCTTGATTCAATGTCTTCTTTCTGGTTATCAAAACTCGAAAACAATTTTATACACATATTTCTGGTTCCTGACCTGGATGATGCCTAGTTATTTAATTTACGGTTACACTATATTATTCCACTTGCGATTAATTAAATCCTTTATGTAATAAAAACTTTTTTTATCTCACTTGGATGGGATTTGCCTTCGAAACGTGATCGGAAATGGTTGTGGTGTTTGTAAACAACATTTGTAAACATTTCAGTGACAGCTAGAAAAAATAATCTTGATCCGAACAGCTGTTCGTTGTTTCATAGATGATTATGTGATACAAATTGGAAGAAAACTTGACAAAAATCGCACAAAACTGCATTTTTGAACGGCCGTAATTTTAATTACAAAGTAGTGAGACCATATTTTAATGGCTAAAGACACTCTCGCCAATCCAGTGAATACATTTAAATGACTTGGGTCTTGATAGGTACTCTCGTTTTCCTGGAGAAGATTGCGTAAAATGCCATCTTGAGTGTGTCAGACAGACAGAAATTTAGATGAGACTTGTTTCGGCTTCTTTAATGTATAAAACGTAAAAATAACCTAAAAATGTATGATTCTGAGCAATGTACAGACAAAACTCAACTCAGACAAAAATAAATTTTATTTATATAGATATACTGAAGACAATTTTCTAAAATTATAGACAAAGATCTAAAACAGTATAAAATAATTTTAAAGTTATCTCAAATTGACAGGCACTTGCTTTCAATCGCCTGTGTGGAAGATGTAATCTGTTTTATGTTGTAGGCAGTTAAATGTGGGGAGTGTTTTAGTGAATAGTGACTAAGAATGGGGAATTTGGTTTTCACCTAAAACCTTTCATTGACATCCATGGTGGTAAATCTTCTTTCACAACATTTTGAATACTGGCAACTTAAAGCTTTGCTTTGAATAGAAAAGAAAGACATTTTTATTTAAGTAAAGTTGGTTAAATCAAGGGTGTCCTTGAACCTTGTATGGGAAACAGATCAGCTCGGGGCAAGAACCCAAGCTGATGACTTAATAATTATGTAGCTTAAAAAACCTTTTACAGTGTCAATGTACCTAACAGCTGTTGATTTGTTTGTTTCTATTAGGATACGGTATCAAACGTTTGCTACTCACCTGGCACCAAAGTGCTGAAGGAGATGGACGTAGTGAAGGCTACAGTTGCGTTGATTGACAGACACCACAGTGATATGCCTGCAACAATGCACGTCCAGAGGTTAGACAAACAGCACACTTACTTTTATACTACAATGTTGATTATTCGTTTTAGTTTATGACTGATTTGTAATATAAAAATAATTTTAAATATCATTATTCCTCGGCTGCAGCAAACCTGTAGTCTAAGCCAATTTCCATTTACCTAACTAGATTTCCACTAAAATATTAACAAAAAAATACCAGATTTATTACCTTTCAAATAACCTTAATATTAATGAGCACTTAGCTTTGCTGCTACAGGGAATGTGTGTTTTTAATTGAATCGTCGAAAACTTAGTATGAAATAAAAAAAATTGACAAATTGTGTTAAAATATATCCATAAACAAGCAAACTACAGCAGTTTACTTTATTCTCAATAAAAATGAGCATGGAAATGTTGAATTCACACTTTTTTACTTTCTCCATAACGGTAAGGCGTAAAATTGCTAAAATTGTACATTTTTAGGTTAAAAAATGGGAATAACCTACGTTAACCCCATAAAACAATGCACACTGATAGACAACACAACTACGACCTCAAAGTTATTTGAAAAAATAATTTGAGGAATCAGTAAAAATAATAATAAATATAGTTGCTAATCTGATCTGGGAATCTGATTTTGCGGCCCTAGTGATGCAAAAACCAGCTCGGTTCCCAAATGAGGATGACAGCTGGCATGGCCAGCAATATGTAATTTTCACCCACCAATTAACGTATGTAAAACAGCTAATCACATCATAGTGTGGTAAAAAGGTCTTACCATGACACCTAGGGTAAGGTAATACCATTGACTATTGGGTGTATTAATAGTCAAAGGTAATACTGTAGCTCATTTTCTATAATGGAAAATTCTCCAAAATCAAACAATACCCCGCCGCAGCAAACCTGCCGTCCAAGCGAATTTCCATTTGGCTGAATTGATTTTCAATTGATCTATTTAAATAACATTAGGTTTAACGAGTACCTAGGTTTGCCGCTACATGGAATCTAATAAAGTGTGTGTTTTAAGTAAAATAATTATTGCTTAGTATAAAATGAATATATTTGCCAAGTTTGATTAAAAGATATCCATAAACAAGCAAACTACAAACAACATTTTACAATATTCTCCATAAGAATAACATGGGAATTTTTAATTTACCATTTTTTAGTTTTCTCCGTAACCAATAACCGTACAAAAACACTTTGATATACTGAATTGTTTGTTTTTTTAAGCTCTTTAAGAAGGTTTAGAGAAAAATTGGGAAATTTTGTGTTTTGAGGGTCAAAAGTGAGAAAAACCAATTTTCACCCCATAAAACCCTGTTCCCATGGTCCGATCATGCTGGATCGCGAACTCATTCAAGTTTATCCCGCCTTACACCTTCAAACCAAATTTCATCAAAATCGGATAAAAATTACTCAAGTTATCGTGTTTACGGACATATATATATATATATATATACATATATAAAAATTTGAACGAATGGTGTTTTTGGCCTCTGGAGACATCAAAATGAAAAAGTAAATCGGTCATGGGCCTAAGTCTTACCATGAGACCTACGGTAATAGCTACTTCCCTATAGGGAAATTCGCTAAAATTACCTTAGCATTTATCAGAAGAGGCAGAGCTCACGCCGCCTTTGTAT